GTGACGGAGGTGTGACGGAAGTTAGAAATGAGGGCTATTTTCTTCCATTCTTATAGGTTAGGGACTAAAACCGTTATATTATAAGGTGAGGTGCTAAAATCGTCCCATTTATCAAGGTAAGGGGCTATTTTTAGGTTTTGCCGGACAAAGTTAACGGAAAAAGTAACGGAAGTTAGAAATGAGGGCTATTTTCTTCCATTCTTATAGGTTAGGGGCTAAAACCGTTATATTATAAGATGAGGGGTTAAAACCGTCTAACTTATTAAGGTAAGGGGCTATTTTTAGGCTTTTGCCCGCACTATGCTCCATGTTTTCCTAGGTCTGCCCCGGGCCTATGATTATATTTTTTGATTAGGTAAAAAAATCCAGCAATGGAGTACAGGTACACTTATTATTTATAAATATTTTATTTATTTAAATAAATATCGTACCGTCAACTGTTAAAAAGGGAAAAAAATTGCAGTTTAAGAAAGTGGTACGGTAAAAGCTTACATTTAGCTTCTCACTTTATTAAGTTTAAAAATTTTAATCATTTACTTTATATTATAATATTTTAACCCCTCATCTTATTAGATTTATAGATTTTTATCCATTATCTTATATTATGATACTTTTAACCCATCATCTATTAAAATTGAAAAAAATAGCCTTCATTTTGTAATATTTTATTAGTTTTATTAGCTGATTGTTAACTCTACTAACTGATTGTTAGTTGACTATTAGTTTACAAAAAAAAATTTTCAACTAATAGAGTTAATAAAAAAAACTTTATAATATTTCGTTAATTATGTTAACTATTATTAGTTGGCTATTAGTTAACAAAAACTTACTTTTAATTAACAGAGTTAATAGTCAATATAAAGTGAGGGTTATTTTCTTCAATTTTAATAGATGATAGGTTAAAACCTATAAATGAAGGATTAAAAATATCATAGTAAAATGAGAGGTTAAAATCTTCAAACTTGATAAGATGAGGGGTTAAAAGTAGATTTTTGTCGATAGATATAAGATCTTGCCCGAAATATATATCTGGCCCAAAAGATGAGGCCCAGAACTAATAAACCCAAAAAGAGAAAAGTGAAAAATTGTAAGAAAATCCATTCATATTTGACTTTGTACTTCAGACGTTCATGGTTCATCCTCGCGGTGGCATCACCGGAGAGTCGGAGACGAGTTTGAACGTACAAAGCTTAGCGAGACCCGAGTTTCTCTGGTCAGTATCTTCTTCTTTTATAAATTATTCTTATACATTATCATTCTTTCGTCTCTAATCCCTAATTTTCTTAAGTTTCTTTGTGTTGTTTTTTGGATTTTCAATTGAAACCTAATTGGGATGATGAAATTGAAATATCTGTTGATAGAGTTCTTCTTGTTAGTTGTTGCTTAATTTTGGTTTTATTTGACCTTTTGAAATTCATAGTTATCTGCTTCTTTAAATGTCCGATCTTGTGATATATTTTGAAATAAAGCTGTAAATTTGGAAAGGAATTGCTTAGTTTATGGCCAATATTCAGCTCATTTTGATATTTTGGTTCTTTTTTAGGCTATTGCGCAGTAATTTTTTTGTGGATGATTCGATCTTAGGGGGTATAAGTTACTTATTTGGGTCTAATAGGTTTTTGGAATCTCGATTTAGGATTTTTGAAAATTTGGGACAGACGTAAATTCCCAAATAGATGAATATGAACCTAGTGCCATATGGGCCACCTGAAATTTGGAACCCTTGAAATGTAATATGTGTATATATATATATATATATATGTTTCAATTTAAATGTAGGTGTGATTTTGAAAGGTTTGTGATGATTTTGAATACCTTGTTTGTGTTATACTAGACACTATAACAAGTTGTATTGGAATGGAGAGCCCAGAAAGTCGAACAGATGGTAGCAGTTGTGTTGAGCCAACTCAAGAGCCACTGTTATTTGGGCTTCCAGATGATATTGCACTCTTCTGCTTGGCTAGGGTTCCTCGAGAGTATCATACGGTTCTGAAGCGTGTCTCAAGGAGATGGAGGGACTTAGTGTGCAGTGAAGAGTGGTATGCTTACCGTAGAAGGCATAATTTAGATGAAACTTGGATCTATGCTCTGTGTAGAGACAAGCATGAGCAGGTTTGTTGTTATATATTGGATCCCAACTCTTCAAGAAAGTGCTGGAAGCAAATCAATGGGCTTCCACCCCGTTGCCTGAAGAGGGAAGGAATGTGTTTTGAAGTGTTGGGAAAGAAACTTTACTTGATGGGTGGCTGCCGGTTGTCTGAAGATGCTACTGATGAGACCTACTGTTATGATGCTTCCATGAACACTTGGACTGAAGGATCATCCTTATCTACTGCAAGGTAATACTGCTTCCTTGTCCTTTTCCATTAGCAGCTGCTGAACATCATTGATTAAAGAAGCTCATAACTCCCTGGTTTCTTTATTTTGTTCAGTATTTTCAAAGTGATCTTATACTCTTATTTTTGTTCAGGTGTTACTTTGCTTTTGAAGTTCTGGATGAGAAAATCTATGCAATTGGTGGACTTGGCTTAAGTTCAAGTGTTCCTTACTCTTGGGATGTATATGATCCTTGGACAAACAATTGGAAATCTTACTTGGATCCCAACATTGTTCCTGGAATTGAAGATTCTATTGTCTTGGATGGGAAGATCTATATTCGTTGTGGCAGATCTTCTATAACTTCTAATGTGTATGTTGTAGTTCATGAACCATCAAGTGGCACTTGGCAGCATGCAGATGCTGACATGGCATCAGGCTGGCAGGGTCCTGCAGTTGTTGTAGATGAAACCCTTTATGTGCTGGATGAAAGTTTTGGAACAAGGTTAATGATGTGGAAGAAGGACGTTAGGGAGTGGGTTCCAGTTGGGAGGCTTTCACCCCTACGTACAAGGCCACCCTGCAAGCTTGTTGCTATTGGGAAGAACATTTTTGTGATCGGCAGGGGATGCAGCACAGTAGTTGTTGATGTGAGCAACGCCGGGAATATGGGAGGTTTTATGGTGAGTTCCTCCATGCCTAAACTTACTTCTAATGATGAAGTGATTAGCTGTAAATGTTTGTCAATCTGAAATTCTGAAGCCAAAGCTTGTTATTATGTTGAAATTCTTCTTGTGTATTATTAACATGCAATATTCTTCCCTGGAAATAGAAATTGTTGTCCTTAAACTGTAACATTTGACCCTTTTCATACATTTGAATCAAGCTTTCTTTATTCTGTGTATTGTATTGACCTTTACTCTGATTATAGATGAAGTACCAAGTGATGATAATAGGATTTACAGTAGTATAGATATACGTTAGTTTTTTGGCCATACAAATACAAGTAATTGAAAACAGATAATTCATGATCCGTTGTTAATACGGACATAGGATTAGAAGGTCCAAATTGCTTAATTAATGCAGAATTGAGAAGCAAAGGACATAAACAAATTGCATACAAAAGAAGACGTTTACATTGTGTAGCACAAATATTAAAAAACATTGCAGCGATTACACTGCTTGGAAACCTCCGAATCCAATAGTTGTGACAGAAGCAAAGACTTCATACAAAATCCAAGTACTTCAATGTTGAACTTGGTCAATTATGGAACCTACCTTGTGTCAAACCATCACCTGCTATCAAACTCAACGCAACTGGTCTTTTCTCTTTCTAAAAGCTGGATGCATGATTCCATTGCAAGAGTCTAGTTTTTCCATCCTGAAGATACACTCTCTCAACCTCTTGGCAGAAACTTTATCTTCTACCGAAACTATCTTCTCTGTAGTCCTTTTCTCGCCATCTGCCATTGAAATAATTGAATTCTCACTATTGGATTCAACCGGTCTTGAATCTGTAAAGATAAATTATTGGTCAGTACCTCAACTCGAAACAAGGAGGAACAAACTAGGCACAATGGAAATTCCAATCATGGCCCGGAAACACCATTAAACAATATTCTCAATCAAAAACAGAAAAAGGAAAGTTGAACAAAGTAGTAATACAAACAGGAGGAAAGCAAGCAAAAGTTTTGATTTCTAAACACTAGACGATTAATCTCAAGCTCCATAAACTCAAAAATTTTAATTTCCATTTTGTTTTCTAGGCAGATTATAGGAAATGAAATCTAGGAATCCCAATTTCAAAAAAGAGCCAAAATCAGTAAACCCTAGATGGGAACGGACCTGGGTTGCGCTCCTTGGATGGTCCAGGGTCCATGCCAGGCAAAATGGGTCTATGAACGGACAGCCCCGTTGCAAGAGTGGCCTTGAGCTCATCCGGAAGCGCCGCTCTGTATTCTAGAATCTTCTGGGCCATCTTCGGCAGATCACTCTCCAGCTGCTCCAAGTCCTCCTTCGATTCCGGTTGGGGTTCTGAACCAGAGCGTCGAATGACAGCATCCGTATCGACGGCACTAAGTCCATTGCTCAAGGCCATGGTTTTCCGACGAGGATCCGAGCTTCTAGTTGGGGCTCCGAGTGAAATTTGTTGATTTCTACTCCCTTATACGTCGACGTTTTATATAATACTCACTACACGGGCCTGCGCCTGAGCGAGCCCAGTCATTGGTTATGGACTCTGCGTCCGTAAAACGCAACCAAACGGCGTCGTTTGGTAGGAGAAAGATCTCAACGGCACTCCAAATAGCGAAAGTATGTATTTTATATGTTTTAATTTGTTATTTAAGATTATAATTTTTTTGAGAGAAAGGAAATATAAATTCTTGATTTTATATAGTTAAGTTGAATTTATTTATTTTTAAATTTTATTTTACAATATCATATATTTTTATATTTATTATAAATTATTTGATTTTTTTAATTATGAACTAATTTAATGTTATTATCCATTTAATATTAAATTTTATGACTTACATTTTTAAATTTTATTATTTCATTTAGAATTATATTATTGTTCTTAATGTTTTTTAATAATTGTCTATCATTAAAATTGATTTAAAAAACATAATTAAGATCGTAATGAGATTTTATGTAGTAAATTTTAATAATATATATTACGAATGGAATAAAAATTAGAGATGAACTAAATAAGATAAAAAAAAATTTAGTTGTCACATAAATAGTACATTCATTAAAAATATATTATTTTAAATTTTATGCTAATTGATTTTGATGAAATTATATTTTTTAAAATTTCAATTCTTAATATCACTAAAATATCAATTGAATATTTTTAATTAATTTAATTAATTAATTCAATCAAATTATTTAATTTTAATTATTTAAATAAAAATAAAATTAATTAATTTTGATAATTGATTAATTCACATTATCTCTATCATGACGATACTTGATTTTTACAGTTGGGAGAATAGCTCATCACTGTGCGAAGTAGTCGAGGCAATGATTTTTCATTGTCAGAATCTCGGAAGCAGACATCGAAGAACCTCGGTGGCTCCAAATATAATGAAGACAACTTTGTATCTTCCTACTTTATTCACCATGACTGCTACGATTGCAACCCTTGTTGTTCTATTCTTGTTTTAAGGTTATTCATTGTTTTTGCATTTTCGAGTTTTTGGCCTCAGATTCGACAATGGAAGAAAGGAAGTTACCGGCCCCGTCCCAAGGTAATTATTCCATAGAATGATACTGATATATGGTTTTAAATTTTCAAATTTGTTCAAAACTCTTCTAGGAATGATATAAATCCCTTCATTTTTTAATTTCTCAAATTGGGTATGGTCCCTGGTTGAGCCAAGATGGTGACTTCTATAACAATTGTATTATTTTTATTATTAATATTATTAATATTTTTTTATTATTAATATAAATTAGGATTAAAGCCAACTGTAGTTCTCGTACTTGTGAAAATGTTCATTACCGTCCCTCTAGATGTCGTCCCTCTACTTTCCTTACAATATAAATGTCATTCATCTACTACACCTTTTTTGTTCAATGTCATCTTTAATTGGATGCCATCCACATTTCCATTAATTTTGACTATTAATTACTAACAGTCAAAGATTCAACTTTTTGTTTATTAATTTTTTTTCTACCAAATAAGACAAGTGAGACCATTTTTTTTCTTTTGGTTCTATATTTTTGTTTCTTTCTAGTTTACAAAGGATACGGTGCAAAAAAATAGAATAGAGGAATTGGCGCAAAAAGAATGCAGCCAAAATGGGTGGCAAAAAAAATTTTGTTCTTGCTTGGTGTTTAGTGTCCATCACATGAGTGGATTTTTTAACCCACTCTCTCCTTATTTCCCAAATTGTGAAAAGCTCAATGCACAAGAATTACAGAGTACACACTACAGGAATCTCTGAAAAGGTGAAGACATTGTGCTTGGAGCAAGCAAATTGTCGAGGCTTGTGAAGGCTTTCAAAAAGGTAATAATCAACTGATAATCTATGTTTTATGGACATGGTTTTTGGGTTAGGTTTCAATAACTATAGTAGAATCTATTGCTTTGTTCTTTTCTGGTATGTGGTCCTAAATGTTTGTAGGTCTCATGAAATGGCTAATTGTATTGAATATGGTATATACTTGAATTTTGGAGGCAAATTTATTAGGAATCCAACGCTTCAGCATGTGAGTGGTACTTTTCATAGCATATGGTTCAAACCAAGTAGATGTCAAGCTGTTGTTTTTAGAGAGAAATTATAAGAGTTAAACATAGAGATGAATGGCTTGACAGATTTTGTATGGTATAAACATCCTGCAAAGAGGTTGGATGATGATGACCTTGTGTTAATTATTTCTGATGAGTCAATTGAAGATATGTTCCAACTACTAATGTTTAATGGGTATATAGATATGTATGTTGAACACGAATCCCAAATTCAGAGACATATGACAAAAGGTGGGCCCTCCCACGAAAATAATGGTTCACTAAATGATGCTGTAATGGTTGGTGAGACAGTGGCATGTAATGTAGATTGTCATACATATAGGGTTGAAGTTGATTTAGGGGACAAAAATGCCTTAGGTTCTATTACCCAAGAATGCCAAATAATTGTAGAACATAATAGAAATTCAGGAGATGCAGATGGAAGAATCGAAGATGTGGTAAGTGGTGATGAGTACATTGATGTTCCTTGGTTGATCGACAATGAGGATGAGGAGTGGCAATTTGCAAGGAATCTATATAAGGATACTCTTAAGTTATATGCAGATATTGTTGGAATAGAAGGGGCTTTAGTTGATCCAAGTGAAGCATATGTGGAGGAAGGAGTCAGCGATTCAATTGATTCTGATGATGAGGTTAGTTTTGTTACAACTAGTGATGATAATGAGGTAAAAGAAGCAAGAAGAAGGCGTTCACTACACAAGGTGTTTGATGAATCAACAATCATTCCACAATTTGAAATAGGAATGATATTTTTGAGCAAGAAGCAGTTAAAGATGCAGTTCTTGCACAATCTATTTATATGCGAAAAGAGACAGTGTGTGAAGAAAAATGATAAAAAAAGAGTCAAGGTTGTATGCGTAGATAAGAGGTGCAATTGGGTTTTGCTACTTTCTCTGGATGGGAGAATAAGAAGTTGGATGACAAAGACATACCGGGATGAGCATACTTGCAGTTACAGTTTGAACAATAGAAGGGTTAGATCAAGGACTATAGCTAGACATTTCAATAAGACAAGAGGTATTTCAGCTACTATAGCAACCCAAATTAATATCCAACAATCCATTAAAGAAGAATTGCATCTTGAAATCACAATGAGTCGAGCTAGAACGGCAAAACAACTTATTATCAAAGAGTTTGAAGGTAATTGTGAGAAGGAATACAAGAGGTTATATGATTATAGATTGGAGCTTTTAAAGAAGAATCCCAACTCTATAGTTGCAATTGATGCAAGGAGGCCTACACTAGATTCTAAACCTATCTTCTTAAGATTCTATGTTTGTTTTGCTGCACTGAGGGAAGGATTTATAGCTGGTTGTAGACCAATAATCGATCCAGATGGTGCATTTCTCAAAGGTCCTTGCAAGGGTCAATTATTAGCAGCCATCAGAAGGGACGCGAATAATCAAATGTATTCTGTTGCTTGGGCCATTGTTAAAAGTGAAAGCACAAGCACATGGACATGGTTCTTGGAGTATTTGAATTCTGATCTCAAAATTGGTGATGGGCAGTATTTCACCTTTATATTTTATCAGCAAAAGGTAATTTTAATTGTTATATGCTATTTTTTGATTAATTTTTAATGCTTGTGAAAATAGTAGCCAGTTTCCTTTTTCTATTTTATAAGGCCTGATTAATGCAATCTAGACATTGTTCCCTAAAGCACATCATAAAAGGTGTGCAAGGCATATTTATGCAAATTTTAGAAAGGATCACAAAGGTAAGGAATTGCAAATATGGTTTTGGATCACTGGAAAATCAAAAAATGAAGCAGAATTTAGGAGGAACCTAGAAGAGATCAATAAATTGAAGCATGTAGCAAAAGAAAGATTGATGAAGCTGGATCTCAAATTCTGGTGCAAAACCTTCTTTGACACTGATGTAAAATGTGATGCTGTTGATAATAACATGAGTGAAACTTTCAATGGTTTCATTCTAGATGCAAGGCATAAGGGACCTCTCTCACTACTTGAGAATCTTAGAAGAAAGTGCAGCAAGACGAATATTGAAAAGTTGGAATTTGTTGACAAAAAGTTTAAAAGTCAATTTGGTCCAAAGATTTGGGAGAAGATTGAAGAACACAAAAGCAAAATGACAAGATGCCATATCAAATCACAAGCAAGATGGCATTATGAAGTAGAAGAACGACCATATTCTTTTCTAGTCAATGTTCGTGAGTGTACTTGTAGTTGTAGAGTTTGGCAACTCAATGGTATTCCTTGCAGACATGGAATGCTTGTCGTCCAACATAGGGGTGAGGAGTATGAAGATTATGTGCACCCATGCTATAGAAAGCAAGCTTACATTGACACATACAAAAATTTTATCATTCCTATTGATGGAATGTAATTTTGGGCTGATTCTGGTATGCTTGAAATTGATCCTCCTATTCGAAAAAAGACACTAGGAAGAAGGCCTAAGAAAAAAAGACATTTAGAAGAATGGGAGATGGCTTTTGGATCAAACATGAGTCAGAAAGGTAGGGTCATGACCTGTCAAGCTTGCTTCGAAAAGGGCTATAACTCAAGGACATGTCTAGTGAAAAAGCAAAAAATCCACTGTAAGTATAAAAGCCAAATCTTTGTTTGTTTTTGTTGATTAAATTATTTTTTTGTTTAATGTTTAATTGAGTTTTGTGAATTTTGAGACAGGTTGAAGAGTCATTGTCAAATGCTCAAAATCAAGTTCCCGAATCTGTCCAACAACCTCATGCTATTACTACTGTAAGTATAAAAGCCAAGTCTTTGTTTGTTCTTGTACATTAAATTTATTTTTTGTTTAAAATTTAATTGAGTTATATGAATTTCGTGATAGGTTGAAGAGTCATCGACACATGTTCAAAATCAAGTTCTTGAACCTGTTCAGCAACTTGCTGCTACTGATATTCAAGTTTCAGAATCTATCCAACAACATGCTTTTCCTACTGTTGCTATTGTTGTTGCTATTCAAGTTCAAGAAACTGTCCAGCAACTTGCTCTTCAAGTTCCAATGGATGTTCAAGTTCCAAAAAAAGTCTCACAAAATTCTGATCAACCAAATTTAAATGTTGAGCAACCAATTCAAGTAATCACTAGGAAAACTGTGATGGTTCCAAAGAGACTAACTAAAGAGTTTAGGGTGACATGTAGGTCAAGGGTTAGAGTGCCTAGTGCTGTAGCCGATGACCCTGGGATGAACAACTTCCTAAACATCACTGAGAATGTTGCTGTAGGCAACAGTGTTCAAGTGCAAAAGGAAAATAAAGTTGTTGCAAGCAATCAAGTGCAGAAAAAAAAAAATAAAGATACTAATCTATTTATGTTCCATTTTGTGACAAGTTTATTGTCTTTAATGAGTATAGAATTTTTTAAAATATGATTAACTAAAATTGAGGGTGCAAGGTCAAGCAAACTAGAAGAAAAAGAAATGGAAAGTGCTTGGAATGGTGGAAATCCCCAACCCTCAAACTGCCTTATCTATTCTTGATGTGAGTTTTAAATTTCAATTTTTATATCAATTTATTTATTTTTTATAATGTCTATATGTCTAATTTTTATAAATTAAAATGTCTAAACTTCTCTTTCCCAACCTGGTTATAAAAGCACAAAGACTTGCAATATACAAAGTGCAATGAGGACTAACATAATGAGCATGGAAGAAAATATAGTCAACAAGCAACCACATCAACCAACACAAAGCCAAAGTGGAACATACCAACAATTGGATGTAGGTGACATTGAGACATTGATCTTCATATAGAGTTGCTATTGCATATATTTAATTAATGTATATTTGTGAAATTTTTTTAGGTGAAGAGATGTGCGAGATTAAGGGCCATAAAACAGTCTAGGTTGGATCAAATGGAGACTGCAAATTGGGGATCCCTATTGCAAGCAATCAGTGAAAGGAGTGATGGAAATGCTTGTGATTGAGGGGTGATGGGTGATGACTTCTTTTGTGCATACTATGAAATGGTGCTCTACTTAGCTAATGATGTCTATTTTGGAGTTTTAGTAGTGTTAATGCTATCTATTTAATGGTTTATATACTATAAATGATGCTTTATAAAAGGGACAATTAGAGCATGTAAATTCCTATAATGTGCTGCATTGTTTTTGTTTTTGTTGTTCTATTTTTTTAAGTCATGTCCTATATAAGCAAGCAATAGAGCAAGGTTTACAGAGACTAACAGATGCCAAATTACAATGCTTCTAATATGCTGCACTTTTATTTGTCTAGTTAAGTTCTATTTTTCTATTATGTCCTGTACAACCAAATGGTTACTTATAATGACATGGCAATGTTTACAATCAAAGTGTATCTTTTACCTACTTTAGCAAATCTTGCATTTATATAGCTGAAAATGCTCAAAAGATAGACATATTTTGCCAATTAACATGACAAAAAAAGAGTCATATATTCCATTTCACATTTGCAATACATAGGAGAGTGCCCTGGCTTGGCATAAGGGCTCCATTACAAAACTAGACAAAAAGACCCTCTATAAATGCAGACAACTATCTAACACAACTTAATTGCCAAATAATCAATACTGTAGAAAACACATTTTTAAATTCAACCAAATTGAAGCAACCATCTCATGATCTCTGAGCTTTTTCCATTTCAGAGTTCAAATTCTTCAAATAGTTAATCTCTCTATGCAGGTCTAAATTCTCTCTTTTCAATTACAGGAGCAGGTCTAAATTCTCTCTTTTAAGTTATAAGAGCTCATTCATCAGTGTTTGCTCCTTATCCAGCAACATGTTATCCAAAATTTAGCTCAAGCCTCATCATCCTTCTACAACAATATCAAACAAAAACTATATGTATCAAAATCCAAAGCAACCATAATACCACAGCACAACCCACAATCAACAACAATTAATAACAGATTTTACCATCCCAAAATCAACAAGAAAATCCACAATTAATAATAGATCTCACCAACCCAAATCCAATACAAAATCAACAAGAAAATTCATAATTAACAGTAGCCATCACAACCCAAAATCAACACAAAATAAATGAGAAATTCCATGGTTAACAACAACTTGCTCGAAGACATTCTAGGTTGGGTGATTCCATGATCGAAGGAAGAAAAAGCCAGATGATTTTTAGCAACTTTGGGCAATTATGGGTTCCAGATTTTTTTGGCAATTTTGGGTGATTTTAGGTGTAGGATTTTGT